ACACCCTCACCCACACCCACACCCACACCCACACCCACACCCACACCCACACCCATACCCACACCCACACCCACACCCACACCCACACCCACACCCACACCCACGCCCAAAAGAAAAAAAAATTCCACGTGAGTCGTGTGTTTTGGGGATGGGTACAGATTCAAAAAATATTGATGTCGAACTGAGGTGAATAAATATGCTCATGTTGTAGTACATGAACAACTTATCATCAGCAAATAGTTTTTTTCAAAACTTTTTTAAAGAGAAAAATGCCCTTATCGTTCCTCCTTCTTTGTGAATTAATCACAAAGTGGCTTCAGCAGACGACATTGGTTCAACAGCTGTGATTGCCGTTTTCATATTCCCAGTATCCAGCAACGGTTTCTGATAATGATATCCAGTCCGATAACCAGCATTATCTAAATTGCGTATTAAGCATTCGAATTCAATTTCATTTGTTTTATATTTCAAATCATCACTAGTATCGTTTGTGTAGTCTTGTAGTATATTGGCAACCTAAAGTAAAGAACTTAAACAATGAAATTCTTCATTTGTTTGTTATACTCGCTGATGTTGTTCGCCCGACGACAAATACAGTTGATCGATGGCAACTGATGTAGTACATACTTGAATTTCACTGGCACGAATGACAATGAATGCATATTGCCATGCTTCTTCAATTGTCTCTCCACAGGCAACAAAACCATGGTTCCGTAAAATCATTACTTTATTGGTCGGGCCCAAATCTTTGGCAAGCAGACTTTTTACGTCACCTTCGATTAATATACCACGGTAGTCATGATAGGAAATTTTCCCACAAGATAATGCCTCTTGAGATAATGGTAAAATATCACCGCTTATTGCAGATATTGAAGCCACAGCAGGGGTATGCAAATGAATGACACAGTTGAGGTCTGGTCGTGCTTTATGAATGGCAGAATGAAGTGTATAACCGGCACGATTTATACCAAAAGTTGTGCTACCCGGATGGACTATATTGCCTGTAAATATCCTATGCAATATATTTGAGTCTTGGGAAAAGAACTGAATGTCGCACGATCTTTTTTTGCTCAACGATTGAGACCTTTAATCCTGGCTTAGAATGCCTTATAACACCTAAGTGGTCAATTGGAGGCAATATTTTGTCACCTGTGTGATTTTATAGTGTTCCCAAATAATTGAAAACAAAACTATGTGGACCCAGAATTTTACGCAGAAAACATTCTCGATACTTTTTAAGGCCCCCCCCCCCCTCAGAAAATCCATTTTTCGGTAAAGTAATCGAAGTCTAGTTTTTATCATAGGAAGATGCAGCGAAGTTTCCTCTTTCAGAATATATATAAATTTTTAAAAAAAGCCCAAATTTTTACAGACTTTCGTAGGAGATTTCCACCTCACTACCCGGTTTTCGGAGAGATTTTCGCGGTTTTTGTGATTTTTGGGAAGGCTACTTTTTTACTTCTATCAGCATGAAATCAACATTCTTATATCATATAGTATGACCTGTAGTGCTAGCTTACGCCATCTATTGCGTGCTTTCAAAAATTCCACATAAATATTATCATTATCCCATTATTTCCTGCATTTGAATGAAAAATCCATTTCTAAAACTTCTTTAGAGGTTTTCTCAAAACAAGGTTTCCAGACAGGAAAATTGAAATAACTCCCTCTCGGATCGCCATATATATAATATTTTTTTTTTGTTTTAAAGGTCTTAGCGAGAGCAAACTTTTGTCCGACCAGTTTTTTTAAAGTCGATTCCTGGACTGAGAAAAGTGGGATTTACTGTCGTTGGACCACCATTTTTTCTGCTGATTTTTAGACCCTTCCACTAAAATAGCCATAAAAAATCAATAAGATTGAATTTAAAAATTCTGTTCGGACGAAAGTTGCGTACTGACATTAGCTTTAATTTGAGACCAGCCCGAGCTCGATACCTCGTGTTATGACGAAGTTATATCGATTCTCCTGAAGGCCAAAAATGACCTATGATTCAGCTGAAACTCCGATCTAGTATGGCCAATCGGACTGAAATTTTTACCAGGTACGTATCTCTCCAGGATCACTCATCCCTGAAATTTTCAGCTCAAAAGACCCATTCTAAGTGGGAAATCATTTCTGAGGGGAGGGGCCCCCTTAAGCAAGGTATTTCTTCCAAGAATTTGTGATATATCTTTTAAAAATTCAAGACAGCTATACAAATAAATTTTGTAAAATAGAATCCATAAGCACAAGGTACAACAGTCGTAGATAATAAACCATCCTTATATTTTACATATAAACGACGTTGTATGGAAATAATTACCAGTTTTATGTCAAAACTGTTCAGGCCATATCGGTAGTTTTAACATTATTACGTTGATCCGACCTAGTTACAACAGGCAAGTTTGGGAGTATTATCAAGCTCAAAATTCAGATTTTAGTAATAATCCGATAAAATGGACATGTGCTTTTTTGTTGAGCCCACATATATTTTCGATGAAGATGATAAATATAAGTTTAAATCGAAGTTTTTATGGTTCTCGCTCATCCTTCCCTTCTCAGGCCCTAATAGCCAGGGCTGGGTGGAGAAACTCTAGGGCTACAACAAATCCAAGGCTTTATAATTTGGTACACAAAGGTTTAGATTTGATCTAGAATATTATTTCGATTCGGTCTTAAATAATCCAAATTCGCTGAGACTTCGTAAAATAAAGTACCAGAACGACATAGCGAACTTGAGGCTTTTGAAATTGATATGAAATAGTTTAGATTTGATATAGACTTGGTTTGAATTTGAATTTGGTTTTTTAGATTTGTGTTTGCGTTTGGGACTTATATTTGGATATGTGTTTTGGATTTGTAAAAACAGCAGAACTCTTTTGAAATTGGATAACTTAAATAAATTTGGTGTGGGTGGATTAAGAGCAGATTAACACACACACATCCAACCTGAAAACGTGGCAATATTAAGAATAAGTTAGTATTTATAGTTTCCACTTTGCATCGTTGATCGTGAAGAACTGATAAAAGAGTATCACTAAAGTGAATGTTCAAGAAGAAGTATGTGGGACATGTATTATCATTCGTAAGACAGATATTTAGAGTAAGACGAGTTACGGGAACTGATGATTACTCGACGAATACGGTCTACATTTTCTTAACTAACCATAGAACAATTTTATGATAAATTGGGAACATTTTTGAAAAATAATAGATAAAAGTTGACTCGCATACATTTGCTCCAGATGAACTCTACAACCTGATAGCGATAGTGCGACTACGATTGAAATAAGTTCTCAGTAAAAAATTTGGACAAATAAGCCGTAAGTAGTCATCCTTCTTGTAGTTAACTCTGTCAACGACCCATTTCTACTTCCACAGTCAAGAATCTTGCTTAATAGATTCTCAAATTAATTCGTCGGAGTCGGAGAGAGTCCCATGTAAAAAAATTTGGATTAAGAATCATATTAAAAATCGATTATAATGACACTATTGCAATCTGATTTTAATCAGATTTTTCAGTTTAAAAGACAGATTTTATTTGATTTTGATTTTTTTACAATCTGTTTTAATCGATTATTATAGTCGTTGAGGTAACCGGTTAAAACAGATTAAAAAAAAGTCAAAATCAAATAAAATCTGTCTTTTAAAGCTGAAAAATCTGATTAAAATCAGATTATAATAGTGCCATTATAATCGATTTTTAATCTAGTGCTTAATCCAAATTTTTTACATGGGTTATGCAGGAAAACCAAGTTCTTTATTATCATCAAGTAATTCACTTACCTGAAATATCAACTTTGACCAGGTTAGAAGATGTCACTTGATGATATAGCAAGCCGAATGGATTGATTAAGAAATGTTCTTGCTCTTCGGTGACACGAGCCTAGGAAAAATCATAGTATATATCATTGATGGATAAGATTGCATATCTGTTACCTCCTCAGATATTTCTTTTAATTATATCTGAAAGGTAGATAACTAGCAACTGCACATAGCTGAAAATGTATAGCTTGTCTCTCTTGAGACTTGATCAAGAAAAAATGTCCCAGAAATATGTACATATTTGACTTCGAAGGCATTTTATGAACTCCTTGTTCATCCAAAGTTCACATGCAACGACTGGTTGCGGAAATTAACAACAGTAATCAAAACACAAATCATTGCTCTACCGAACATGTATGAACCATTAGTAATCGATACATATCACCCCTGAAATCTACATTAATCAGAGTTCATAGGTGCTGTTCTTCTACTACGTAGGTCATATAGAGGGAGTCCGAAAAAACCGACCAATTTTCAGACATACAAGCTTTCAGCTAGTCCGGCGAGGATTAAAATGTGAAACGCAATAGATTGACTCCAGTCGTTAAGAGACACCTAGCCGACGTGAATCATATGAGGCTTGAAGGTTGTATAGACTAACATATCAAAATGTCTGTTACAATGTGTGCTACTCAAAGATTCGCCTGTCGTGATCTGTAACGGTAAGAAACCATACCTATTCTGTCTGTCTGCACGAGTCTACCGGGCAGCCTACGAGGCGACTGCGTAGTTTACTTGTCTCGCTGTATATATCAACACTTGTTTCCAATCATGTACCATAAAATAACTTCACGTGACATTCCACCGAGCTGCACTTTACAACTTATGTAACTTCAGCAAAATGTATTCTCTCCAAATAGCGATACTTTCTACAACTTCAACAGAACATGCCTTTTGCCACTATTGTGCGCTATTCTAGTCGTTAGTACGCTTGTTTAGAACATATTTTTTAAATCTGTATCTACCTTTGACAGTCGTGTTGAAACAATTGTATTACAGAAAATTTATTAATGGATTATGGGTTCCCCAAATTGATACTTCTTGTGCATTATATACTGGTCTCTGTTGGTTAATTGATCTGCTAATAATCAGATGAATTTAGCAGGTTTATATCACTTTCCTGGTAGGTATCTCGAATTTGCATCTTTATCTATTGACTCTTTTTAATATAATGTGAAAAACATATAGTACACAGAAAAAATCGTATCTTGCTTTTCATGCCGAATATTCTATCAAAATAGGATGCCTATATATACGTAATTCAATATAAAAAATTGTATTTTTGTGGAACTCACATATGTTTTCGAAGAAAATAGTGAGTGTAAGTTTTAAGTTCGAGTTTTTGCGGCTCCCCCCCCCCGCCCCCCCCCCTCCCCACGCTATCAGACAAGAAACAAAGAGGAGAGGGNTTAAGTTCAAGTTTTTGCGGCTCCCCCCCCTCCCCCCCACCATTACAGACTGTAGCAATCAATAGTAAAAGGTGCTAGATTTTCTAGAGTTTTTTTTTGAAAATTGATCAAGTCATAATTTTGAAAAATAATGAATATCATTATTTGTGACTTGATTAATATATATGATAGTGTGTATGATCTGCTATAGATATCATAGATATGTAAAACACACTTATTTCTCAATCAATTTAATAATTATAATAATAAGAATGATAAATTAAGAAAAACGAATTAAAAAAAATAATGATCGAATAGCAACAATGCAAATAAAAAATAGGGTGCCCATAGAAAAAAGTTTAAAAAAAAGTCTGTTAAAAATGCAGAAATTAGAGAGGTTCTTACTCTTGTGATTGATTATCCTGCAAAACAACTATAGTCTAATAGAGATTTTTCAGTTTACGTATTTTGTATTAGTTGAATGAGGCTAGAGAGCATATGTGAGTTCCACATTTCAGCCCCAAAGGGGCTGCGCTAACAAGCTTTTCTTTAGCGAAAGAAATAGAAAATCGATGTAAAATGTGCGTCCTCTGTATTTGCACCAAAACTGAAAACCCATATGTAGTTAATCGTTCGTTAGTTGAGTTCTAACAACTTTTAACAATGCCTTCGGAGCAAACAGTGCATTAACAACAATAGTTTTCGGATATTTCTAACGAAGAGGTTAGTTCGATTGGGTTAAAGACACTTTCCCGAAAAATGGAATAAATATCATGCATTCATCCAATCAGATTATTGAGGCAAATACTATAAGGTACGAGTGGGCACTCTTGAAGCTCACTTAAATCTTACTATTGAGGAAGATGAATGATCATTCGGCTGCTGTTCTAAAGGAATATTTTAAGTATCACTAACAGAGTACTAAAGATACACGCAGTCTGTATCACTGAAAAAAACTTGCTTGAAAATCGAACTGTATGATGCTGTTCAAATCATCTGGCATATACTCGTCTTCGTCTTTGAGTCTTGTCTCTGATATTTACTGCTGAATTGGAAGGCACCCTACGGAAGTCAGAGAATAATTGTGATATGCATACACGAGTAACTGTGTAACATGGGCGATGTGAGAAAAGCACTCAGCAATTTAAACTTTGACACGACATTTAGAATAACAAGTTTCGATTCGATGACCAGACAACGAGTGTTGCATCCAAGCCTTTTACTCAATCGCATTGTAATACTGACTCTGAATCATGCCTTTTACGATGATATGTTTAAATTCTCTAAATTAAATAAAACCATTTTCACGAGAATCAAACTTTCTGAAAAATAAATCATGTGTTTGATCGTTGAATAGCTACTATTTTTTTCATGTTTTCATGGTAAGGTCCAACTGACCACTTTATTTTAGTGCAGTCTGATGATATTATAGTTGCTATCGTCATGTTCTACTTGTTTCTCTTTAAAAGAAACTCTGGCATCATTGTTTCATAAGTCGATCTTTTCAAAGAATTTTATTACGCTGTAAAGAATATCTATCAGCTGTCTACCAATCAGCAGTCCTACACCAGAGGACTAGCCAGATGTTCGTCTCCAAAATATTTTCTGCGATTTGCGCATCGTTAATTTCACTGTCAAAAAAGGCTGATCGTTTCGAGGATAATCACGTCCAATAGTTCAGATGCATACTTTTTATCAATCGGTGTTTTTTATTTTCTATATATTTGTCGAAAGATTTTCAAATGCCTACTTGCTATGTCAAAGTAACAAGAGATATCAACCCACACACAGCTAAAATTATTATCGAAAAGCATGAACAAAAAGAACTACTGTATTCGACATACATTATACAGTTCTGCTACTTACCTAGAGAAC